TTTAATAAGGAGGAAGAAAAGGGAGGGTGGAGGGGGGGGGGGAGTTGGGAGAACGAGCGAATTCCCCCGCCTCCCCCCATCCAAATGATCACAAGTTAGGCTCTCATGTCCATCTTACATTCAAGCCATTTCAGCCACTCATATTCCACTCTTGTCTTTCACATGCAACTGCATTTAATCTATAAAGCATGTTATGTTTAGAGAGAGAGAGAGAGAGAGAGAGAGAGAGAGAGAGAGAGAGAGAGAGAGAGAGAGAGAGAGAGAGAGAAATAGAGAGAAGACAGAGAGGCAAGCGCAGGAAACAAAACCCCCCAACAGCCTCTATTTAAATTAGCTCACTTCAAAAACCTCTATCGTAAACCATCGCCGCACATCCCCGTAACCCCACCCTCCCCCCTCAAAAGGGCCAATTTATCAGGAAATGACATAATCAAAGTTGCATCTTCCCGCTGTTGACCAATTTTTCAGCGCTCTGACTGTGATTTGACGTTCTCTATATTATCGTTTGACGTCTTCTGTATTATTGCCATTTGGCTCATAATCTGGTAGCGGACGGAAGCCCGGAGGCCACTTCTCCAGGAGCTTGCTGTCAATAAATCTCTATCAATTTCATGCTGACAATGGATATGAATATTCATCTCGTCTGGCTCATGCCGTCTGACTCTCTCCGTTTCAGTCGCTTAGCAAGTCGTTGCCCGTTGAGAAATGCTTGGTCATTGAGAGTGAAATGTTTTGTGTGGTTCATGGTATTTTTTGGGAAGTCCACAAAAATAAAACAGGAAAACAGGAGGAGAACGGGGTGGGGGCTGGGAGAGGGGGGGGGGGAGAGTGTCAAGAGCTTCCTGAAGTATATAATAATAATAATAACAACAAAAACAATAAAAATGCGTGGAAGACATTTAAGTATAAAGTTTTAAATAGTATGCAGTGTATTAAAACCACTTAAACGTAGAATTTCTGTTCATGGAACATACAACTTTTGTAACTGGAACATACAACTCCTGTTCATACAACTTTTGTACATGGAAAATACAACTTCTGTACATGTAACATACAATTTATGTACATGGAACATACAACTTCTGTAACTAGAACATACAACTTCTGTACATGGAAAATACAACTTCTGTACATGTAGCACACAATTTCTGTACATGGAACATACAACTTCTGAAACTAAAACATACAACTTCTTTACATGGAACATACAACTTCTGTACATAGCTAAGGCATGGTTTTGTATTTTTAAATATTTTTTCCGTGAGCCGGGGCGTTGGCTTCAAGGGGTTAAACCTACAACTTGAGGTTCCTGAACCTTTGGTTGAAAATATACAAGTACAGGACGCTTTTCCCGCCTTTATACGTATTGGGCATATGGGGCTAGAGCTGTATTTTGCCGACCAATCAGCATTAATTGAGTGTCTCGATACCACTGTGACAAAACGGAGGCATTGAGACTGAGCTGGCTACACGAAAAGCAGCTGCTGGGAGACTCTCCCAGGCCATAAACCGAGGGTTTCTTAGCAAAAGAGAAATTGGCAAGAGGACGAAAATGGCTGTTTACCGCTCTACCTATGTACCAGTCCTGACCTATGGGTGTGAGTCATGGGCAATGACAACAGCTCACAGAAGCCAGCTGCAGGCCTCGGAAATGAGATACCTGAGAAAGGTGGTCCAAAAGGCAAGAAGGGACAAAGTCCGCAATCAGACAATACGTCAAGATCTTGATACCCAGCCCTTAGTAACCCGAGTAGATCAGTCACAGTTGCGATGGTTTGGACATGTATGCAGAATGGGAGAAAATCGGCCACCATGGCAAGCATGGGAGGCTAAGAACCAGGGAACCAGACCTCCGGGACGACCCAGGGTGCGCTGGGAAGACAACATCCGACAGTCCCTAACTGACAGAGGACTGGAATGGAACAAAGCCAGAAAGAAAACTGCGGATAGAGACGTCTGGCGATCTCTCTGGCATACCTCTACACCCCAAGGTAGAAGAGGAGCGACTAAGTAAGTAAGTAAGATACCGCTGTGAACATGTTAGAGATATCAGGCTTGTACATTTGCACATTATGAGAGGGCGCCTGGCGCTTATTGGCAATGCACATAGTTTATTATATATATATATATATATATATATATATATATATATATATATATATATATATATATATATATATATTGGACGCCACGTTAGCGAAGTCGATAGAAGACTGGCTTTTAAATCCAGCTGCGACTCGCTGCAACCCAGGGCCAGTGTTCGAAACCGAGCTGTTCCCTGAGCTCACCCAGCCTCTAGGAAATGGGTACCAGAGTTAATACTCTGAGATAAAGGGAGGAACGTTCCTGTAGCTACGGAGTTTCGTGCGGAAGGCTACACAGACGGACAGTTTCTTATCAGCTGTCGGTACTGAATGCAAAGCACTTATGGTTTATAACCGTGTGCAATGACGCTGGTTCTCATCTCCCAAATTTTTTATTTTTTTACCTTTATATATATATATATATATATACACACACACACACACGCACACCCAAGTATATTGAGAAGCAACAATTTAATTTTATTTATCCGGAAGTTTCTCTGCAGGAAAGAAGGCTTGCTACGAAGGGTTTTTGCACCTACTTTGACTCTTACAAATACTCGTATAAAGTTGCGATTCTGAGATCCTGTCTTCAGATCTCATCACAGAAGACGGTTACAACAGTTTACTAGAAAGTCAACTTTCATGTGGCCCTAGACTCGATATTAAAACTGCGGAAGGTGCAGACACTCTCTGCAGCTGAATATCAATATAGTATCTGCATTCATCTCGCATACACATTTGTTTTCCGAGACAATCGCGGACGGATATTCATTTCCATGCGAAGAGCCTAAGGGTGTCCGCCGCACACAGTCTGATTGCGCAAAAGAAATTGGCACCGCAGTTATTATTTCTACCAGAAGTTATGAGAAGGCCGGCGTCTGACCCCTAGTAATTGTCTTCTTCGGTGATGGACGCCAGAAAGGGACAAAGAGAGATGTGTCCCCGGGAGGCGGGAAGTTATGAAGACGTCAACAGACAGAAGACATTTGCCAGGGTAAATGCTACTTCGACGAGGCTCAAGTGGCGGTAATGAAAAGTATGAACGGGGAAACCGTCATGGATGGATGGGCTGTAACGATTTCGAAGAAGCAATAATTGTGATTTGTTAATATTTGCCGGCCCATGTGTAACTGAGGTCCGTAACTGAAGCAAAGAATAGTAACATGCATGTCTAAGATGTTATTTGTCTTTCTGCTCTTTGGTCTTCCATGTGCTCTGTAACCATACATCTACATTTGTTGGCTAACAAAGATAGTTGAGCTGAATTGCCATTCTAGGACCAAACTATCTCTCTGTGGAATAAAGAACAAAACTTGATTGGTTCTTAAAAATAATTTCATCATCATCCTAATCAATACCTCCCTTGTGGGTTCCGGTATCCCATTTTGTGGGAAAGGAGAACAGACGCACCAACTCCCTAACATGCATGTCGCAGGATGCAACTAATTAGAGGCTTTTCTTTCAAATGGGAATACATCTGCACGAGAGTCGAGCAACCAACCGACTGCATACATTTAAGCAAAATCTGTCAAACGGATATGCACCCAACAGTTCTGGAGTAAGATCAAAGTCAAGAAGAAGAAGAACAAGAACAAGAAGAACATGACGAAGAAGAACAAGAAGAACATGACGAAGAAGACGAAGAACGAGAACACGAACAAAAAGAAGAAGGAGAAGGTCATTGCTATTATTTTGTTCGTTGCAGTGTTAATGTCTTGCTTCAACATACCTACACGCGCATGCACACGTGTTCAAATTCATATACCAGAGCTGTGTAGTGAGATACCGTGAGCCGAGAGAGAAATTGAGAGTCCGAGAGGATGAACAGAGTAGGCGTGAGGGGTGGTAGAAGGAGAGACAGGAATTAAGCTGATGCACCTAAAATGGGAGCAATATTAATATTCTCAGCCACGGCTGCAAATAATGAATGACCTCCCGGTTTCAAAAGGTCACGGAGTAATGGTCACCGGAACTCAAGGGCATGCTCTGGCTCAACCCCAGGGAATGAATCCTGGCAAGGCCCGGACTGACCAGTACACGCGATTTGTAACTAGGGACCTCTAAACCATTCCCTTTACTGTTTGCACATGCGTTGCCTTGTCGGAATCCTTCCTTTGTCTTCTTTGGCGGAAGATTGAAAAGGAGACGGACGATCGTAATTGTTAACTCATAAAATTAGTAATGGTAGCAGGAGTGGCCCTGTAACTAGCAGGGTCGTCTGCCTTCCCTGTGATCATGGTTCAAACCATCATTGAGAGGGCCTTCTCCTCAGCCTAATAATAGGTCGTTCTTTTTGGCTTAGGCGTTGCGAAAGCGCTTCCTAATGCCGGGTTCGATCCCAGCTGCAGTCTCTTTGACAGCAGGCTTCTTTGCGTTAGTTTTGACAATGGTATCCAGAGCCAATAACCCAGAAGCAATGGCAAATTAGTGAACGCAAAATTGCCTAGTAACATCACCCACTACCAACATACACTAGGGTTGTTACTGCAACGTCATGTACAGGGACACACAGACAAATAATGGCTTTTATGAAATGTTCTGAGCTGTTATAGCCTCAGCCTCCTAATTACCTTTATGTCTTTTAACAAGTCCAACATATTTCATTTTCAAAAGTGTCTCTATGTTTGTAAACATTGTCTGTGTGTCAGTATTAAAATTTCCTTTGCTCTGGTTTCCGTGTAATTAATTGTTAGCACTCTTTTGGAACCTTTATATATGCATTTAGGTTTGTAGTCCGATTAATTAATTAATTAATTAATTAATTCAATCTTTTGGAAACTTTACTTGTTTTGAATATAAATAAACGCTGTTCTAAGAGTGTAATATTTTACCTTAGTCGTTTATTGCATTATGAAATTCCTTTATTTTGCCAAATGCAGATTCTATATACGCTTTACCTTTATCTGTCTACAGGCGAACGTCCATTCAAGTGTAACATTTGTGGCAATCGCTTCTCCACCAAAGGAAATTTGAAGGTCCATTTTGAGCGGCACAAAGCAAAGTATCCCCACATCAAGATGGACGCCACCCCAGTACCGGAACACCTGGACAGGCAACCGAATTTGATGCCTAATTTCCCACCCACATCCATTCCGCCTTCTATACCTTTACCCCCACCAATGCCACGCTTGTCCAATCCACCGATGCATCACGGACCAATATCCTCGCCCAGTCCCTCCCCTCATGTCCACGTATCACACCCATCCCCATTTCCTGTTGGATTTGGAGGCACGTTTCTTTCCTCAGTGGGACCAGGTCTATCACCCTTTGGGTTAATGCCTCCACCACGAGAGAATCCAATGCCGTTTCCATTGTCACTCACATTATCCTTGCCCACATCTTTGGGCATGCCGCTTTCCCTAGGAAGAGACAGCTTATCTCGCAGGGAATCCCCAACGAAGCTGAGCACTGGGTCCATTGAAACGAGTGTCATACGATCTCCGCGAAAGGAAAGTCCTATCAGCAGCATTCGTGACCTCTCTCCATCAGAGATTCGGCGGCCTATTGCACATCAGTATCACAACCACATTCCTCATCATTACATCTCTCATCATTTTGATCCTTACCGTAAGAGTCACAGCGTGATGTCAGATGATGGCAAACACGAGGAAGTTCGAGAAGAATCCGAAAAAGAAACAGAGGACAGAGATATTGAAAGCAGACGGTCGCGAAGCCGGCACGAATCCGCGGACAGCAGAGGTTCATCGCCATTGGTACAGAAGTCTGTAACCACAACGGTCACAACATCATCTACAATGTCTAGCCCACCACCACCACCACTGCTGTCTCGACCTTCATCGTCTCATAGCCCGCGCAGATCACCAGCATCTGTTATCAGCTGGGCGTCACTGGCTTCTTCACAGGCGCCATTGCTTCCTAGTCACCACCCAACACTATTCCCCCATCACCATCTCCCTCCGGGATTTCCAGGGTTAGGCCTACCGTTGCCAGGTAATCCTCCTCATTTCCCTCTTCCACCTCACTTGAACTCAGTTTTATCCATGCCCGGTCCACGGCTAAACGGTCATTCTCCATTTCTGCCGCCACCTCCTCCTCTTCCACCTCACATCTCCCCTCCTCCGGGAGAAAGTTCCATGTTCAGGAACTCAATATTGCCAACCAAGACTATTGATCCATCCGAGAACTTAGAACAGTATATGGAGGTTCAAAAATCAGAAACATCCAAACTGGAAGCTCTTGTAAAGAATATTGAACAAAAAATCACTGATCCCAACCAGTGCGTTGTCTGTCATAGGGTTCTCAGCTGTAAATCCGCTTTACAGATGCATTACCGAATACATACTGGAGAAAGGCCTTTTAAATGTAAAATCTGTGGAAGATCTTTCACCACAAAAGGCAATTTGAAAACCCACATGGGAGTCCATCGGGCCAAGCCAGCTTTACGAATGATGCATCAATGCCCAGTATGTCATAAACAATTTACCAATGTCCTGGTGTTGCAGCAACACATTCGTGCTCATACAGGCTCCATGCAACACTTATCACATGTGCCGCTTCTACCTTCCCATATGGACTGGACTCATCGGCCACCCTTTGGTTTGAACCGTCATCATCCCTATCTTCCTCCATTACACCACGATTCGCATTCGTTAGACCTCTCTGGCATGTCACCGTTCTCCAACCATCTACATAGGGAAAGATCGTACAGTGCCAGTGACCATCACAAATCCTTGAGCGAAGAGCGAAGGAGTCCTGTTGTAAAGGAAAACGATAGATCTTTAGACCAGAGCACCGAAAGAGACCAAGAAAGACACTCTGATGACGAAGATTCTAAAGACGACACACCAAGACCACATTCTCGAAATAGCGAAGACAGTCGCGGCAAATCTCCAGGTGAAACTTGCTTGGCTGAACCATCTCAGGAAGAAACGTTCCACGGTAAATTAACTTTGGCAAAACCTGAATTCGAATCAGCATTTCTACCACCAGCTTTTGGTAATACGCCATTTGACGCTCCATTGGCGGCACTTGAAGAGAGAGTCAAGGCAATTGACAGTCAGTTATCAAAGACGTCCTTTGAGAAGTTCCGCAACAGTATGGGTCTAGACTCCGCTTTCTTCCCAAACTCGTCTAATCTGTCAAATGCCGAGAAGAACTCTGAATATGGATCCGAACCTGCAAGCAAATCGGAGAGCCCCTCTTCAGGAGGTGAAATGCCATCCTATGGATTTTCAGTGCTTGGCAGCTTTGATCGAAATGCAACAACATGTAACATTTGTCTGAAAACCTTCGCTTGTAAGAGTGCTTTAGACGTACATTATCGTAGTCACACAAAATTAAAGCCATATCACTGTGACGTTTGTGAAAGAAGGTTTAGCACAAGAGGCAATCTAAAACAGCATTTATTAACCCATAAGATTCGGGATATTCCAAGCTCAGCTTTCGACGACGTCAACGGTGACCATAACAGTGATGATGATCATGAGGATGATGATGATGATCTTCCAGGCAAAGATAGTACTGAAGGTGATGACGATGACATGAATGACCTTCCCAACGAAGACTATCCGTTTGAAGATGACGAAGGTTTAGATGATGATGGCGTCGATCCGGATTTGGAGCAGGACGAAGATACTGATAATCCAATAGATGATTTTAATGACCTGGTGCAATCAGAAGAGGTTTTGTCACCCTCAAAGAGTACGGATGAATTTCAAGAAGACAACAACAATATCTCAAGCTTCCAAAACCACAACGGAGATAACCCACAGGAATCATGCAACGATTCGTCAGCAGCGGATACCGTTTCCTCAAATTCCAGCCGCCAGCCAGACATTCAGGCAAACCTCGCCAAAAATACCTCATCAACGTCTTCTTCTACTCAAGCCCAGAAAGTACCCAAATCAAACTCTAATACTCAAGACAGCAGCAGGCAAACAAACAATTCAGGCCAAAAGTCGCACGCAAGTGAGTCTTCTGGATCCTCTTCCAATAGCCACAGTGCAGCCAGCTCGTCACTCAGGCGACACAGCGGCCCTAAGCATCAATGCATGACATGTATGAAACCTTTTTCTTCGGCAAGTGCTTTGCAGATTCACACTAGAACTCACACAGGAGATAAACCTTTTAAATGTACGGTGTGTAGCAAGGCATTCACGACCAGAGGTAATCTCAAAGTTCACATGGGCACCCATATGTGGAATAACAGTCCCTCAAGGCGTGGACGAAGGATGTCTATAGAACCCCCTTTTCTACTTTCCCATATGAAGGATACACCTTTTATGCCAACGGGGTTCCCTCCAAGACCCCCACTGGACTTCTTTTACCAATATCCATTGCCAATGATGAATGGACCAGATTCAAAAATGAGTGAGATATCGGCTATTCAGAATTTGGGAGGTTCGATTCATTCACTTCCTCCTATTCCAGCTCACCTAATGCACGGGTTTCTACCTTCAGAAGGCTTCAAGGCAAACAAAGACTCTAGAACTACCTCAGAATCTGGCGAGCCACGTGATCACTCAGATAAGAAGCCGTCTACTAGTGAGTTGAACTTAAGTGTCAAGTTGTCGTCAGTTTCTGACGCTTCACCTTCCAGATCAACCTCATCAACGTCCTCATCGTCATTGTCGTTGTCAGTCCACCCACCCACATCGACCTTGTCTGTGACAGCAACTAGTACTCCATCTCCCAGCAACAACAAGGAAAACAGTAGCACGGCAGCTTTAGATCTTCGCAACATGAGAGCAGCACCGTGGTTATGGGGTAGCTTCCCTTGCCATCACTGTGGCCAGATGTTCCCAATACAGGACTCGCTTGAGCATCATCTGAGGACACACCACTTACGAAAGACTGAGTCTCCATCCCACACACTGTCCAAAACAGAAGCTCATCCAGCACTTCCTCCAAAAGCTTTGCTGGCATGAGCATAAAGTAGGCAACACCCAAACAAGTATCTCGGTCACTTGTATTGTGTTCTGCTCCGTGGAGCATCGCTGCTGATCTCAAACTAACATTTCAATGATTCCTGTCGAGCGAGACTCAAGTCTTCGTGTTGAACTATTATATCACGACTTTTTGTGTTTTGAGCATTTAGAATAGTTAAATTGGGTTTTGTGTGTGTGTGTATGTGTGTGTATACATGTGTATATATTTATTGCAAGAAGGGTTAACACGGTGGTTTGAATTCTTGTTTCAAATATAAATAAAGTTACTTCCCAATAATCTTGTTGTTCTAAACACAGCTGCTTCTTTAGTATATTAGAGAGCAAAAGGCGAACAATCAGTTTAACATCAGTTTGTTGTGTAGCTACATGTTCCATTCTTCTTGTCATCATACTGTCAAATGACGTTTGTTAAAAATGGTTTTTAACTAAAGAGGAACAAACGTGCACACGATGATTACCTATAATATGGAATTATATTTATATATATATATATATATATATATATATTATATATATATATATTATATATATATATATATATATATATATATACGTGTGTGTGTGTGAGTTTGTGAGTTTTCTCCATATGAATTATGCTTTAACATTTGGACAGGAGAGGAAGAATTCGAGAAATGTCTGAAAAATCGCTGGCATCGACTTTTATAAGCGAAACCAGATAGTGACACGTTTGGCACATTCTGAAGAAAAAAAAAGAGATCAAAGAGTCACAAAGCAGAGCCTTAATGGGAAAGAAATGGACTGAGAAAGCGAGGATGTCCCATAAACAGAACCAAAAAAAGGGGGGGGGGGGGAATCTGACAGTACCTTTGTTGAAAGAAGGGGTGCCAAACAACACTCCATAAACGGTATTCACAAAAGAAAACAACTGCACGGTAGGGAATGGAAAGGGTGAATCGACTCTAAGCACTATGTGACATAGAACAGAGTACATTATGACAATTACTGGATGAACCCCATAACCATATTTACGAGCTATATTTTACAGAATGCTTATGTGTGTCCTGTTGAATCAGGCTTTTCGAGGTTTAACTAAAGTAAAGGACCATATTCCACGCCTTCGGCGTATTGGGCATATAGGGCTAGACCTATATTTAACAGACCAATCTGCACTCGGTGGGCGATGTGATCATCATGCCAGTCGCCCTTATTTCCTATGAATCCATCTAGTACCTATTTAAGGCTGGGTCGACATGGAAGCCATGGTCATTTTTGAAAATAGTCGGGTACCCACTATCTTCCGATCCGCAGACGAACGTCTAGCCTCTACACCACGGCGTCTCCCAAGGTCTAACTACTATTAGGATATTTTTAAACATACCACTGCAATTTAAATCATCTTGTAGACAAGAAATCTTCTCAATCGTCTTCTGTCCAGAAAAGTATTAATGACTTATGAATGTCATAGTCTCCCCTTCGGCTATTCGGCTATCCTGACAAAAGCATGCATATGAAGATACTGACATTTTCAGCTCAGATGCTGCGTGACGGAGTTACCCTACTTACAGCTAGAAAGAAAAACATGGCGCCTCAAGTGCTCAGTGTGTGGAGCAAACTAATGTGAACCATATGTGACTTGTAACTGACATGCGTATTCATAGAGGCAGCCCACTTGAGGCCTGACCTGAGACTACGTAACCGAACGCAAAGAAGAAGAAGAAGAAGAGGAAGAAGAAAAAAGAAAATTCCCTTCTATGTTGATATTTAGTGCAGGACTGTCTCCCTAATAATTTGCATGTCAAAAACATAAATGTAACACCCGAAGATTATTTTGTTGTTGTTGTGAATTTCTTATGTAGAAGATGTTCAATTGTACTGGAATGTGTGTGTTAAAAATACTAATTGGTTATTTCACTCTTTACTCTGTTGTGTTTTATTGAATAATGTGGGTACTCTCTGGAATATTCTGGCTTCTCGGCACTGGGATAACATATCTCTTGCAGTTACCAGTAAAAAAAGACCCACAGTAAATACTGCAGCTGGAGTTTGCGTGAGATCTTCACATTTGTATAAAACGTAGATAGATGGGGGTGATCATTTTCATTTCTCCTTTATTCCTTTATAGAAAATTATGGAAACTAATGTATGTCACTTGTTCAACAGGGTGAAAGGGCGATGGAATGCCAATAATTTATGTTTACTAAGTCACAAAACTGTAAAGTGGTTTGACCAAAACGTATTTACCGACATATTGTCTTTTTTTTTTTTTTTAGCTCATAGTCTTTCTGGAGTTTATGCTGAGGATATTCAACGACTTCGCTGACTAATTCATTTGATAATGCCTGATACAAACTGCTCTGTGTTTACGTAATGTCCTTACAATGCGAACTAAGGCATCTGGTTCCTTTCCTTGCCGTCAGTCGAAACAAAATACCTGATGCCAATTTAACAGGATAGGTGGACTTGAGCGTGCAACTTTTCTGCAGAAATGATTTCAGTTTAAACTTAGTTAAGCTAAATTCTTATAAGCGCTCTTTCCTCATCTTCAGCAGGCAGCATAAAGTTCCAGTTTGATGGTACAAGTGGTAGTCTGATTATATGTTCGTCTTGCCTTCTCCCTGAGTGTTGAGCGTCAGTCAGTCCCTTGGCCACTTCTTGCTCCATCAGTCTCTTCAGACAGTAATGAGTTATTTGTGCCTCCCGCACTGTTCACTTGGTCCCAAAGGGTTTTGACAACATCTAGCTTTCATGCATCAGTTTACTACCAAGTGGTGTCAAACTAACAGATCTGTCTGCTTGGTCGAATCTCAACACACTTGCATTTCCTGGAGAAAATATCCAAACGGCGCCTGCTACCTGTGATCTCTGAAGCGATGCTTGCCCTATGCACGGAGCATACCTGTCTCCACTTAACTTAACATGCTTTGTGCATCGGTTACAATCATCACATGTATATGCATCTATTTCTGAAGTCAGCGTAAAGCTGCATTGACTGCCTCCACCTCCATTCTCAAACTTCATTATGTGATATCATTTACGGCTTTGTCGCACTAGGGGTCATATATTTCAGCTTTTGGAGAGTGCAGGACCTGAATTAGCACAATGGCATATAGCTTGTCTGTCGATATTTTATTCAATGAATAGTGCAGTGGTAAAAATAGTAAAGTGCAGCAGGGGAAGATCGAGGCCTACCTTCCGAGATTGTATAGGAATGGTAACAGGCCGAAACAATCGTCGACGAGGGATCTTTTTACTGATGATCGGTGGACCCCTGCTGTACATGCTCCCCTTTGGAGTTCTTCTTACAATGACAAGGACTTGTAGGTTGACCCATGCCAAAATGGATACCAATAAATACCCCAGCAAGTAAAGGCGAAGGGCGTGATGTTGACCAACACCACACCCTGAATGCCGATCGGTCTTTATGAAATTGGATCTAGCACCCTTTATGCTACAAGCATCAGAATTGAGGTATACTTCTAGTTTATGCTTCCCGCTAAATGCTGCTTGCATGCCTTGTTGACATATATCTATCCTAACTGCTTCGCCAGCTTAGTTCACGATAAGTTGATATCTCAGTGCACGAATTAAGTATTTATCCCCCTCCCACCAAATTTTATTTTATTTATCTAGCGTCACCGGTCACCATGGAAACGCTAGATTAAGAGGTATGCCACAGATAATCGCAATGTAATTTCCCGTATGCCATATCAAATTTTTTTCCCCTTTATATGGATATTTTAACTGCCCGTCCCCTCTGTTTTCCCGTTTCCAATCTGTGCTTTAATCGCCCCATAAAACTGGGGAAATTATACAGGGACCTGTATAATTGAACGAACGAATACAATGTTAAAATCAAAACGATTCTTTGTCTTCGATTTCACGTAATCGCCCTTTCATTCTATTATTATTGTAAACATGAAAGAACGATTGATTATTTCCGACCTTTTTTTTCCTGGCAATTCCCTTGCTTATCTGTTGCTTGTTTTGTGTGTCTGTATTCAACAGTATAGTTTCATTTAGTGATAGTTTGCTGCATTGTGTATTGTCATTTGCTTAGTAATAAATACATTAAGGGTAGCCGGTTATTGGAGGAAGGGGGGGGGGGGAGGGAGGGTATCAGCCACTTTAAGTCTGTCAACACTAAAAAATGGGGGGGGGGGGGGGGGGGGGGTCCACATCCAACACTTTTTGAGACCTGTGCGCTTGAGGGATTTGTCCCCCCCCCCCCTTTTTCCCACCGCAATTGAGAGTATGCTGTGGCCCAGCCAACCCCTCCCCCCACTCAATACCTCTTTTTGCACCCCTTTTAAACTTATATAATAAAACACTAATTGCGTATCCTTTACAGGACGTTGCAGAACCAACCACAACTTTGTCTCTTGTTTTGTATTATGGTTTTACTTTCAGTAGTTTGTTATTGATAACCAAACGGTCGGCTCTAGATACCACTGTCGAAACCAAAGCAAGAGGTCTACTGCCCAATCGCCTGCAGCTGGGATCGAACATGGCATTACGAAGCGAGTTCACAACACTTAAGCCACAAAGGGCAACAAACCCAAATAAACGTCATATTTTAAAGTCCAAATATTAAGTTTATACCTTGCCTAATTTTTCAAACATACTATTATATTTACATGCCATTTAGCACTCAATATTAAGTTTCCATTTTCTTCTTTTTCTTCGTGTTTACCGGCAGTAAACTCTGGCGAAAAGTTCTGGTTGTTCGTCCATCCCGTTCCAGAACCTAAATGTTGCACGCACATTCGTTTTACAGATCTTATTTAATTTTTGTTTAATGCAAACTGCTGGTTCCTTGTCTGTCAGGCAGATGCACCGATTTCGAATGAAGCGCCCCCCCCCTCCCCGGTCTTCCCCCATATTGTCGACTCTTACGATATGATTGTCATGAAGGCAGTGGACTGTTCTTGTTTTCCCCTACAATGAGGTCCCGCAACCCACACAGGCAATTTTCATTATTATTACAAACTCAAATTATTCTTAAACCCCTAGATGCCCCC